CCTCCTGAGATGTTCGTATTTACGAGGTGGGAAGTCGTGTTTACTCGTCGGATTAAGATGGCGGTGTACCTTCTCTTAATTGACTACACAAAATACAGCAAGGTTTGTAAATCTATTCTTCTAGTAAATGGACAACAAAGAATGTGCATCAGGTGTGTTTTGCTTTTTATGTTTTTAATGAATTTATGAAGCAACTGTCAACTTTGTCGTTAGCCTACATATTATATAGTTATATTGCATGCAGTTGGTACAGATCCATCCTCAACTAACAACTAGAGTAAATGAAGACTGTTCTTACATCCAACAACAAAACACCCCAAGACCCTTTAGAAGACATTCTTGTCTACATCCATAGACAGTAAAAGAAATGGACAGAGCGATCTCATTGGAACTCAGTTGAGACAGTTGAAGCCCACTTTTAGCGATTTTTGAGAACTTCCGTTCCTGACGCGCAGACTCAGACCGACTCAAACTAAGCTTGATGGTGAGCAACCTGTCTGACAGACGTTAATCTTCTAGTAGCTGTGCGTGAAAACGGCCAACGTTAATCTTGCAGAGACGGGGAACTTGAGCAAAGAGTTCTTTGGCGTGAGTGAGCAGGAGTAAGAATTCCGTTGCTTTTATGGACTCATTATCAATGGGCTTCTCCCTTGACGGGACGTCCCCCCGATTGCCTGCGAGCTTCTCCTCCTGTCTGTACGGTAACTTCTGTACAGCGCGACAGAGAGTCGAGTGGTTATGACGCAATCGTTAGCCTATTTTTACTAAATCTGTTTCTACGGGGCCATAGTGTAACATAGAAGGTAATGGAGCCCTTTATACATTGTCGTGTTTCTTTAGAAATAAATAATGGACAAATGGAGTCTTTAAACGCCTCAGATGTAAAGTTATTCGCTGTCAAAGTGACGCAAAAATGAATGGGAGTCAATGGAAATGCTAACGCAAGTGAAGTTCTGCTACAACATGGCGGCACCCGTCCGGCTTCAACTTCCGGTCGATGGATTACCCCCTTGTCTACATCTGCCCCAGCGTCGAAACAATGTTGGACGGTGTTTAGCTCACTCAGGGCGGGGCTATGCTAAAACTGCAGTGTCAGTTAACAGTCGTGGGCGGGGCTTTAATATGCAAAAGGACGTCACATTGCCCTGAATCTGAGAACGGCTTGTTCTGAGACAATGCTTATGATTTATGGGGATTTAAAAAAAAGCACTGGGTGAATTTTTTATCATTATAGGGTGGTTGTGTACGCACTGCCAACACACATTTATGTTCAAACGCCATGTAAAAGTGAATTTTGCATTTTGCGATGCTTCTCATTGTGAAAATCCTGATCTTCCCACTCGTATTAACGACATTGTGGTGGCGCTTAGGGATGCAACGATTACAGATTTTGTAAGTACGATTATTGTCTGAGAAATAATCACGATTTAACGATTATCACGATTATTATGCATCAATTAATTTCACAACACTACTAATGTATAATATCACATGAACACTCAACACTAGATTGTAATGTGTTATTTATTGCTGCCACAACACAGTACACAATTATAAAATGACAAATAATAATCAATCTCTTCCTTTGGAATTAAAGAGAAGTGCTTTGTAAACATCCAGCATTTTTCTTTTAAAAATAACAAATTAAGTCAAAGGCTGCAGGGCTGCAGCTAGGGCTCTCTATTGAATTAAATGCAAGCTAAATATTAGGCCTATGTATTTCTTTTAAAAGAAAACAAATATAGTCCAAATGTTATCCACCAATTAGGGGTGTAACGGTACATGTATTCGTATTGAACCGTTTCGGTTCGAGGCTTCCGGTTCGGTACGCATACAAACCGAACGATTCCTTGGACCATTTTTCTTGCCGACAAAATTCGCGCTGGCGCGATCACCACAACGTTGCGCAACATCAAATGGCAAACGTAATGAAAGCGGAACGAAACTGCGCTACTCATTATATTGTGCTTCACGGATCGTTTGACCAGCAACATCTGTGCAGCGCGAGCCGATCTCGATCAAGTCACACTGTTACAACACAGCGCTAAGAGATCCAGTAAAGAAAACATTTGAATTCGCCACTGAACATCGCTGCGAGATCTAGTGAGAAGCATTCACATTTCTCCGTTAATAACCGTAGATCTCTATTAGATCAAACAGCGCTGACGTGGAAACCAGGAGAAACATTGTGCCATGAATGAACTAGTAATACTTTACGTCCACAGACCAGCAACATTCACCATGGATTTAATATAGTAACCAACTGTAACCAGTTTGGCTGGAATAGTGAACTGCTTTCAAGTACTTCACACATCTTTTTCCAGCTCTTCAAAACTCAAATAATATATAAATAAATAAATATATATTTAAATGTTATTTTTAATGTGATGACCAAAACATGATTTGTTCATCCTTCAAAGATGACCCCCATTTATAAACCTGAAAGTTTCAAGATGTAGGAAAACTCAGTTAGGCCTATTTAAAAATATTTTTTCTTTTAACAAATAAGAAATTTCTCTGGCATTTCTTTCTTTTTGCTGTATCGAAAACGTACCGAACCGTGACTTTAAAACCGAGGTACGTACCGAACCGTGATTTTTGTGTACCGTTACACCCTACCACCAATATTATTGTACTTATTTTAATACTCTTTTTTAATTATTAATCCAAATTTTGCATGTGCCTTTAGGAAATCATCTATTATAATCTCATTATTTTGGTTTGTTTGTTTGAAGTTTGAGTACAAATTATAGAAAGAAACTGAGAACATCTCTCATGCAGTGTTATTAATAACTGAAATGCAGTTGGTAGTCGTCTACACGGCCCTGATCTTATGTTAGTGTTTTGCACCGGGCATATTAAAACTACAAAGCCTAACATTTACTCAACACAGACAGGAGAAAGCAATAGGATATTAAGTTAAATGTTCACTGACTGAAACTCTTGAGAGCACGTCATATTCTGTTTTCCACAGACTTGCGTAACCAAAACATTCCGCTGTTTTGTTGTTGTTGTTTTTTTACGTTGCACTGGAAGCTGAAAGTTGCACGCTGCGTCCTCCTTTGTCCAAAGCGCTAGGGCGGTTGCGCTCCGGAGCCGTCTGTCGTTGCTCTGTTAGTTCTTGTCACTTGACCCACGGTGCGCTTGCGGCATTCTGAAAAGTTGAGATGTTTTTATCTCGATGCAGCGCGGACGCGCTTGGAAAAAACGAGCGCGTCGCTTCCATTATGAGCGCGCATACCGTGCGCCTACATTTGAAATGAACTTGAGCGCGCAAAAGACGCGATCTGTGAACAGGCCCCAAGGCGTTTTTTCGGTGGAAATAGAGCGTTGCTGCTTAGTCCCTCAGTGGTTGACGAGCACGGCACTTTAAGCTGGCGCACCGCTGGTGTAACTTTGTTTTCGTTTTGTGTTAGGTGCAAAAGTTCCGTTCATACCTGTCAAGTTTTGGATTTGAAAATAAGGGAAATTTTCCGGCGCCCACTGCGAGCAGTCCCACCACCCCAACCAAGCTCCAGTATCCCTTACATTTTAAGACAGGTGTTATAGCCTAAATGAAAAAACACACACACACACACATATAAATATATGTGTGTGTGTGTGTTTCATTTAGGCTATAACACCTGTCTTAATAGGCCTATGTATGGTAACATTATAGGGTATTCAGAGCATTTATTTAAAGGCTTATTTGCATATTTTCTGTTCATTTAACATTGCTTGTCTTTACATTTACATTTTATTTTCATTCCACACATTATTTTCATTTCATATTGCTTTTCTTTCACAGTTTTTCTTTTCATTTGCAGTTTTTCTTTTCATTTCACATAACCTTTCTTTACTCTTTTAGTGAGTTATTGAACAAATTTGTTGCAGACTTTAACTGTTTTGGAAGGAGTGTATTTGTGGGCTGGGCCAGAGTGGTTAATTTTACATGAGAGTAGAGCAAACAGTTCTGGAACGTCATCCTATTCTCTGTAACAATCTTTCGTACCATGCTAAAACACCCTTTCTCGTGCTGACATACATCATTCCTTCCCCGTGTGAGATGCTAAAGTCGCAGTTAACTTACAAAACGCGTGACTGTCCCCCACCCTGCTCCTCTTCAGAAAAGTAAATTCGCTATCCCATTGATCGCGGTATTTAGTACATGAGGGTTTTGGTTTTTTGGCAGGAGTACCTTGCTCTGTCATAGCGTCCATCATCCGTCTCTGTTTTTGTTTGTTTTTTTGTTAAAGGTTAAAATACGGGAGATTTACGGGAAAATCCTAATACGGGAGGACGGCGGGAAAGAAGGGTTAAATACGGGACTTTCCCGGCCAAAACGGGATACTTGACAGGTATGGTTCCGTTCCGTGCAGAACACTCGGTGTAGCATAGTCTTTACGATTAATTAACCGTGACGTTTTAAAGCGCGGTTAAAGGTGCTCTAAGCGATGTCATGTGTTTTTTAGGCCAAAACATTTTTTGTCACATACAGCAAACATCTCCTCACTATCCGCTGGCTGCCTGTCCCCTGAACACACTGTAAAGAAACGCGATCTCTGTAGACAGCCCATGCTTCACAAACAGCACCAAAAACAAACTGCAGCGACCCGCTCCCCAAAACATAACAAACTGTTCCAGCCAATGACCGACAAGAATGGTTTGGGGGTGTGGTTTGGGGGGTTAGTGTGCGGATGAGGAGGAGGGAGGGTCTAGCTAGCCTCCGTTTTGTTTGACAATAGTTCGAACGTCAACAAGAAGTGACGTCACCCAGGATCGCTTAGAGAACCTTTAATTGTGAAATCCGGTAATCGCTGCATCCCTCGCTCATCATGTGTGTTCAATATTTGTCCAACTGAATTAAATAGTTAATTCATTTCTATAAAATGGTTGCATGTATGCTGAAATAACCTCTAAATGAGTTTTGATTTAAAACAATATTAACGATGATTTCATGTCATGCAAAGGTTGCCAAGGTTGCTCGGCAGTGAGAGACACATTACACAAACAGAGGACCATAGTGTGAACAAATGCTTTATTTACCTCTGCCACATCACACATGACCTCATCACACGCACAAGATACTGACTGAAAAAAAACATAGCTGGCGTCTTTAAGAGGGAGAAAATCTGAGTGTGTTCATATGTTGAAGAGGTAAAGCCGGTGACATTTAACAATGTTCTTGTCACTAACTAAGAAAGAAGTTAATCAGGTTTACTAAAATACTCTTTATTTTGCGCTATACAGAAGACAAATGAGAAAAGCTGGAGCACTACATTGACTAAACGCAGTTAGGGAATATATTTGTTTCAAAATACTTTATTATATGCCAATTTAAACAATGAATATAATGGTTATCTACATTTCAGGGACTGTTTTTTCCTCAGAGTCTGTTTCGTCGGTGTTGTCGCTCTCCGGTTCCAGTAACCTCATGATTTTCATCATTGTGTTGTTATCTAATCCGATGTCTGCGTTCTCGTGCTCCGCCGTTCTTTTTTCTGGCGCGCTTTTATCAAAGTAGTCCTGGACGGCGCGCTCCAGATTTCCATACCGGGGTTGATCCACGTTGCGCAATGGCGTTGGCCGTGCACGTCTCTGTCCCTGTGCGAGCATTTCAGATGCCAGGTAACTGGCCAATTCGTCTTCCTCGCCAGCGGTGTTGTCGTAATCATCCTTGCTGGTTTCCCTCTCGTAATAACGTGGCGCGTTGGGTTGCGTTGGTCGTTTGTTGTTTTGCTGTGCTGCATTAACCAACTCAAGGATGCTCAGGATGTCCTGGGCGACGCTGTTCCTCTCCGATGTCTCGAGCGGCGAAACTCGATGAGGTGCTGTGGAGAAAGTCTTGTGTGTGTTGTGAGTGGTTGCGTAGGGTGTACGTGACTGTCCCAATAAATCCTTCTGCCTTTCGTTTTGAAGAAGGTCAAGGACTTCCTTTGGTGGGATCCGAAGCTGCTGTGAGAGTTTGATTATCTGGGACAAAGACTCGGGGATTGTGTTGTGCATCGGCTTAATTTCCCTCTCCTCCTCCTCCTCCTCATCTTCGTCTTCATCCACATCTTTTTTCTCCATCTCTCGGTTGCTTTCTTGCTCGCTCCTGCTGGCCTCTTGTCTTTTCTGCTGCTCCTGCTCTTTCTTTTCAAGGACTTGGAGAAGATAGTAGTCCAGAAGCTTTGCGATGTCCTCAGGGTCCTCCTCTTTTCCTGTCCTTTTCCAGCTGGATTGGTTTGATCTTTTGACATCATCTTCGTCTTCCTCCTGGTCATCATCCTCAAGGTCACGATTAAAACCATGCCTCTCTCTTTCTTCTTCTTCAGTCTCTATTTGCTCCTCCAGAGGTTCCCATTCGTCTGTTCCCATGATGTCCTCCAAGGCCATCTTCCTCTGCCTGTACAAGTCATTATCATCATCATCATCATCCTCCTCATCATCTTCACCATCATCTCGTTTGCTGTTGACCTTAGATGTGGAGATCCCACTCAGTTCCTCAAACACAGACTGAAGGGTCGCCAGTTTCTGGGGTGTGTACTGTTCTTCCGCATTCTCATTGGTCCGTTTGAGCGGCTGTTCCTGATCCTCCGGATCCTCAAGCATAATTGGATACTGCCTGTGTCGTCTCCGGCTTTCTTGATTGGACCATGAGGTCCTCCCATAGTTCTCAGCTGGCGTTTCGACCTCTAGTTGTTGTTTTGGCCTTGGAAAGGGGTGGATGGTGTATTGAGGTTGAGTTGCAATGACCTTCTTGGGCATCTTGTGTTCCTCAGTTTGTTGTAGTGTCTTAAGCACAGCTTGAAGCAACTCTTGAGTGTTGTCTCTTTCTTCCTCTCTCTCCTCCATGCCTCTATCCATCCGGCCTGGCGCTGCCAGTTGTAGCATGGATCGGATGCTCTCCATGTCATCCTCTTCTTCTTCTGGTTGACGATCGTCGGTAAAGGGATCAGGTGGGGGGGATCTCTGGCTGAGGCTTTGGATGTATCGGAGAGCTCTGAGCATCTCAGCACTCGGAGGAGGGCGGATCTGGGACGCAGGTCCATAAGTGACGGGTTCACTTCCACTGAGGCGATGCTCTCTTAGTGTGGCTCCTTGAACTCCAAAAACGAGAGAGAGGAAAAGAGGCAGAAGGAGGAGCGAGGGGAGGACGAACACCCCTGTTGAACAGCATCTAGATGATGACGACATGTTTTACCTGAGAGCGGGAGGGAGGGAAAGATGAGAGATGGTGAGTCAGACAGTTATTCCATGAAAAAAAGATAAATGCTTTCCTTAGGGCAGAACCCTTTTCAAAAGGCACTAAAACGGACAATTTAGGTACTAATATGTACCTTTAAGGTATGCACTCTTTAGTGGTAAATAAGGTACAAAGGGTGTATGTTTAGAAAAGATACCACACCAGATACTACTTTTTTTGTTTTGTTCTGAGAGAGTATCAGCACATGCACAAACACATATGCACTAACAATTTCATACACATAAATTGTTCAGTCTTCATCCCCATTCATGTCATTCCAAACCTGTCTCGGTGTCAATACAATGAAAGTCAATGTTTTTCACTTTCAGTGTACAGACAAAATCAGTTAATTTGTGTTTCACAGAGAAAAGAAAGTAAGTTATACAGGTTTGGAAAGATATGAGGGTGAGTAAATGATGACAGAATGTAATTCGGATGAGCTATTCCTTTATCTCGTTACAAAGATCTACCATTGATGAGTTATTGCAGTCTTGTTTACATTGTTAAATTGACCATCACGGTCTCCACTCGGTCTCGCTCTGTTTGAATCTCTCTCTCTCTCTCTCTCTCTCTCTCTCTCTCTCTCTCTCTCTCTCTCTCTCTCTCTCTCTCTCTCTCTCTCTCTCTCTCTCTCTCTCTCTCTCTCTCTCTCTCTCTCTCTCTCTCTCTCTCGTGTATCTGTTGAAAGCCTGTTGATGAGTGTTTGCGGAGCACTCGAGAGAGCGCGCGTGCAGCTTGCGCTGAAAATCTCATTAGTTTCTAAATTGCTGCCACGACTAAATGAGTCATACCCCGTTGCTACGGGAGACCGTGCGCGGATCCGCACTGCTGTTGAACCGCAAAGTGCCGTCAAACGGAGAGGAGGATGAGAGAGAACGGAGCACGGCCCCCTACATGCTTCAATCTGTTAGATGTTATACTTGCTTTTGAGTGTGAAATAATGCATGTAGAACTTTAGCATGGATATTTTTCCTAATGCATATATTAGGAATGAACGTATAAATTAACGTTCTTAATTAATGTATTTGACCAATTAAAACGAACATTAGTAAGCTTTTAAATAAAAATAATCGCGGGATAAAATAAGTAGGTTTTCATAAAAGACACTTTTGCACACATTTGTTAAACTTTCGAGCTGTTTATGAACGCGTCTTGTTCGAACGCGTCTTAAATTACGCGTCTCACGGGTTTGCGTGCAGCAGGTTGTTGATATAAAGAATAAAGTCTACACACGTTTCTAAAGAGACAAACCAGACATAACAGTGATGCATTCCGTTCAAAACAACGCACAAATGAGTGTTCAGAGGCAAAAGCCCTCTTACCTTTGCTTTCGGTCTGTTTTAACGGCGAGTCGTGAGTGCGTTGCGCATCTCTCTCGCGCTCTCGGTGTGTTTATGGCTGTGCACGAGCACGGAATATCTCTCTCGTCAGCACCGCGGACAGCTCCGCCCGTTATAAGAGACGCCATCTGATTCGTGCGTCACTGAAACAACATACGCAAAACCGGACGGACACACACACACAAATGTGTTTTCGTGTTTTATGGGGACTTCTCATTGACATAATGATTTTTTGTTGCATTTTTACATTTTCAAAAAACATTAATTACTATGATTTATAAGCTGTTTTCCTCATGGGGGGACCAAAACATGTGGGGACACACACACACATTTAATCAAATTTAACATGCTAAGTGCAATGAACTTATAAACTGTTGTAACTTTGGCTTTACTTTGATTTAACTTCAAAATCAGCAATTAACTTGTACTAAAATTTACTGGGTTGAAATTTTGTTCAGGGTTGCATGAGTATATTTTGGTGCAAACTGTGGTTACAATGGTAATGGTTTGTAAAGAGCGCCTATCAACTTCTCTGATTAGAGGTTTCAGTGCCAAAGGGCCCCCGGTGAAGAAGAGAACCCACTCATTATGACTCCTCTTATCATGTGAAGTTGAAGCTCTCCAGTTTGATTGTGATATTATGATAACAGTCGATCATTGAAGAGCGATGGTACTTTGCTTTCTAAAATGCTCTTGGGAGATCTCGTTAGCTCATCTTTTATTTGATCATGGGGAACACAGTAGCTGCTTTTGTGCCAAAAAAGCCATTTAATCCTTTTAAGCATTTTGAAAATGAGCTGTACGGTAAGCAGAATGCATCTCTTTCTGTCTTTCTCACGTGCACACAGACGTCTGTTACTGGTGTGTGTCAGAACCGGGTGGCTGTGGGCTTCTGGTCATGTTGATTTCACTTCATCTGTAAAGCGTCTGGCGAACGATGAGTCACCAGCGGAGCCGCAGAGGAGGGGAGAGGGATGGGTGTGTGAGACAGGGAGAGAGACGGAGAGGAAGACAGGAATGGAGTTGGTGTTTTGATGGGAATTGACGTGTGTCTGGCAGCTCATTTTCTGAAGTGAGTGTGTGTTTGGCAGTGTGTCAGGACAGGAGCCGGGAGACTCGTTCATTCAGAAATCCACTCTGCTGCTGTGGGAGGCCGACTACCATTCACAAGACACAAGAATCAGACTGTACACAGACACACACAGACACACACAGAGTTCAGCAAGATGAGGCTGAACGAACTAGAATCAGGCATTGCATCGAGTCTCATCCCAACTGTTCTTCTCTTCTCTTCTCTTCTCTTCTCTTCTCTTCTCTTCTCTTCTCTTCTCTTCTCTTCTCTTCTCTTCTCTTCTCTTCTCTTCTCTCCTCTCTTCTGTACAGGAGCAGTAATACAGTTCCTCTGTATGTGTATAAAAAGCCCAAAGCTGTTCAGATGTGTGCGTCTGTGTGTGTGTGTGTGTGTGTGTGATCAGACAGGTGCACCATTGTTATTACTGCGCCTTTATTTTCATCTGTGTCCTGCACATTATGGCTTCAGTAAACAATTCATGTTGACATCCTGTGTGTGTGTGTGTGCTCCATTTACCTCTTTTGTTATGCAAGTGTGTATATGGGCTAAAAGCTGTTTGTTTTCCTCTGGCTGATTCTGAATACAGCGTGACGGATGCATTGAATATTTTAGAGGACAAATCATATTTTAGAGGAATCACATTATAGAGGATGTAAGAGAAACACAGAGCATCACACACACACACACACGCACACACACACGTCTGGATACGTGTGGCTTGAGACGGCCTCAAGCTGGAGTGCTGTTTTATATTCATCTGCCTACTAGGTGGAAGGAGTTCAAAAATAAACAGCCAAGTCTTTAATGTCAAATTGGTCTTGGGCTCTACTAGAATAGATTTTAAAGATGAATGTTTAAACATTACACATTATTTCCCCCATATTCTCCATTGTTGCAGCTCCTCTCTTCCCAGTCTGTCAGTAACGCTCTGTTTAGTTCCTGTCTCTATGAAGCCCCTCCTTCTGAAAAGCACACTGTGCTCTGATTGGTCGGCTGGATTCAAGATTTGGAGATTAAAGATTAGTCAACCACTTCGAGTGTGTTTGGGAAATGTCCTGCCCCTTACCATAACCTTGAGTTTTAACACACTACGGCCCTGTCACAAACGGCACCATAAACACTTGCAGTCTTCCTTTGAGTCCACACATTCATGACGTAACGCCGCTTTGACTGTGGTGAAGAAGTCTTCTGCGGAGCTCACATCAGTGCGGGCTCGGCAAAAGTGCGCATCGAGGGCGTATATCGACCACAAAGGGGGCGCTCCGAGCACCCTTCGGAAACCTAAAGTGGTAGATGGGACAAGCGGTGAAAGTGCATTTAAAGTGTGCCATTTGGGACAGGGCATACTAACTCAACCAGGCCCCGCCCCTTTATTTCGCATAACCATTGGGCGGGAATTATTTAAATGAGGAATATTGTGACGTGTTCGTTCCCAGAAGAAACTCAAGACTACAATGGAGGCGTTTCAGGGAGTTCAGAAACACTGATATAGAGAATAACTCCCGCTGGAGGGACTTTGTAACTTTGCAGAGCTTTTTCATGCTCAAACAGCAACATCACACACTAAAGAAAGATGAACGTGGAAAAAAGCATAATAAGTCCTCTTTAATGTTTTGTTAAATAGATGTGTGCAAGCAAATCTCACGTTGGAAACATTGTTTTCACGTCATTTTGTTGAGCCCCACCAAAATGTTATATAGCTGCTGTTTTTTGCTTGTTTCAGTGGATTGCATAAAGCCTCTGTTATCTTGGGATGCTTGCCATTGTTTTGAAGGATGCACAATATGCAAGTAGTTAGTCACTTTGGTATTAACTGCATTAGTTTGTTTGACGCAAACATACATAATGCAACATGCACATTAGCAGAAAGCAAAAGCTTGTTACAATGCAACAAAATAAAAGGTAACAGGCAGATAAATTAAAAGCTGATGTTTTCTTAACAAATCAAATCAAAAGTCATTCAAAGATAACCAAGGCTTCACAGCATCCTGGAGAAAAGGTTAAATTGGCCACTGAGATGCACAGAAAAGTAGTTACTGTAGTCACTTTGGTATTAAAGTAACACCAGGTAACTTTTCAACCTTCATAATATATATTCCAAGTCTCTTGTGATGGTACATCGACTTACAATAGGTTGAATGACACGTCTGCCATAGCCTGACGGGGTCTGTAGCGTTTTTAATCGTACTTTTAAACTTCGGGTTTCGGGTAGTAACCGGCGAACAAAGAGAACTACAAAATTCGACTGGTTTACGGCATATACGTCACTTCCACCACCACCCCCACTTCCTTAAAATCGGACTTGCGAGCCAAATGTTATAGTCATGGCCGAAGCAGCACAGAAAAACAAGAAAGCAAAGGTTTTATCGGAGCAAAGCAAAAAGAGAAAAAGAGAAAGTGATCGCGTTAAAGGCAGAACGAGGATCAACATTGGGCCAGCATTTTCTCGCTGGCGTGAGCTGAAGGAGGAGGAGGGGTGCCCGACCGATGCGGACTTGGCAAAAAAACAAAAAAAAATCAAATGAAAGCCTATGTCTAAACGGCGTGTACAAGTTTGGTAGGGGCTACCGCTACATTC